TAAGTTCTCCTATAGACAACTTTAGAAGTTCTATTTCTGAAGATAGTACTGAAAAAGAGCTTGATGGCTGGAGTTTTTCCATAAGCACATAAGGTGAAGGGAGGAGTTCTGTATGAGCAGAGGGTACCGAATTTTTAGGAGTAGTGCTAATACTGGCTGTCAGTACAGTTTTATCCTCAGTTTCAGCTCGACGCTTACGGCATACACGTGAGTTATGTGACTCACTATAGCCGTTTGTTGGGGGTGTGTTGCTTGATGTAGCAATCAAGGACGTTAAATTAGACACCAGTTTTACAGGGGATTGGGTTCGTTGCTTTTTACTTTGATTAACCATAACTATTAGAAATGAGAGTTAGTGGTTACAAGTATGGAAGTGGTATAGTACTTGTGCAAGTACTACAACATTACACTTCATTACACAATCATTACACTTTATTGATTCACCTTAGCACTTTTACTTTTCTAAAAACAGCTTTCAATCCGTTGTAAACGTTGTACTTACCTCAATATTGGTTGGTTATCGTATGCCGACAACCACGGGATGAAAACGAAACGAAGTCGATTTTCTTGCTCAACCTGGAGGACAATTGTACAATTCAATAACTATACAGACTAGTTCAGACAATGAGTGTATTTATATATATATATCAAATATTTAACTGTTGAAACATTATTAACTTGTAGACAATCTACGATTTGATATTATATCATACTTGATCGTGCTTGTAAAAATGGCATGCATTTTCATGTAAATTTATATGTTTATATGAGAATATACATTATTATTATAAACAAGATAAATTTTATGTAACGAATCACGTAAAAATGTAACGCAAACGTTGAACGTACCGCGATACTTCCAGACCACTTTCTGGACCAATAGTTCTTGAGGTAAACTGCCGTTGCACTCCCTCTAATTTAAGCTTGTCATTTTGTCTGAGTCCGCTAAGAATAAACGGGCAGTATTCTAAGATAGGTCGGACACATACTTTGTATAATAAAACCCTAGTTTCACAACAAAAGAAATTGCGTGTTATGCATCCTATCAGCCTTCGCGTTTTACGTCTGGCATAATCAGTCTGTTCAGCGAACGTTAGGTTACTAGAGTATCTAATACCGAGATCTACGACTGAGTTGAGCTTAGCTAGTTTTCGCCCATTTATTTCAAGAGTTAGATCAAGGTTACTGTTGCCGATACAAATCCAGCCGCATTTGTCAATGTTAAAGTTTAGACAGGATTCAGCACACCACGTTGCAAGGCTACTTAGTTCAAGTTGTATTTTAGTAACCATATCGCTTAATTCATGAGTGTAGCAGGAGTAGACGACTTCAAGGTCGTCAGCGTATAGGAATGGTTCACCTGAGGTGAAGCACTTGGAAATGCTGTTAATGTAGACTGTGAATAAAAGTGGACCTAGGACACTACCTTGCACAACCCCACTTGAGATCTGCCTAGGATGAGACGATACAGATCCAACTTTGGTTATTTGTACCCTGTTGCTTAGAAATGATTTTAACCAGTTCAGTAATGGGTTGCGAATTCCACAAGAGTACAGCTTCTCAAAGAGAATACTGTGAGATACCATGTCAAATGCCCTAGATATATCGAAGTAGAGAACAACGACTAGCTTACGTGCTTCGTGACTACTAGTGATGCAGTTGAAAAAGTCGAAGTGGCAAGTAACGCAGGATCTATTTTCGAGAAATCCGTGTTGAGACCTTGTAACAAGATCTTCCCTAATTAGGTAGTCTGACAATTGATCTTTTACAACTTTCTCCATGATTCGTGAGATAACTGGGGTTATATTTATGGGTCCGTAATTGCGGACGTTTGCCCTATCACCAGATTTGTAATGTGGAATTATGAAGCTAGTTTTCCACTCACTAGGGTAAGTGCCAGTGTCCATAGATATTGAGAAGAATTTAAGAAGTAACAAGGTATATCACACCCACTATTTTTGAAAATTATCGAAGCGAGGCCATCCGGTCCCGTACTAGTGGAAGGTTTAAGGCTTTTAATTGCTTGTACTACTGTATGCGAATAAGTAAATTGTTCATAGTTGTATACAGCTGAAAAGACTCGACGAGATATTATGATGCCATTTTGTTCTGCACAATATCTTGCTTTGTTCAAGTTTATTAGGGGAAACAGTTGTGTGGTATTGGGATTTTAACTATTTTAATTTGTTTCAAACACAAAATCTGGTACAATATGAGCACCAAAAAGATGCGCCACACAATAATAATAATTAAACTATTGCTCATAGTCATATTAAGTGGTGTCCGTCAAGGATGCCCATTATCTCCTTTTCTATTCAACTTCATCATAGATGTGTTAATGGACTTAACCCTAGGTGACTTCAGCGACTCAGGATTGACTTGCTACCAGGGAATAATCTCGTTGACTTGGAATATGCAGACGATATAGTCCTTATAGGCGAAGACGCTGACGAAATGCAGAGTCTTGTAAACACCTTGAGCAGCAATCTACGAATGTTTCGCATGCGATTCGCTCCCGCCAAATGCAAGATGATGTTACAGGACTGGACTACATCGACGCCTAGTTTAAAAATAGGAAGTGAAGTGGTAGAGCACGTTGACCACTTCACTTATTTGGGAAGTACCATCAGCCAACGCCAACGGGTTGATATCTGACGAAATCTCAGCACGAATACAGGGGGCTTGTTTCGCATTTGCCAGTTTACGCCGACTCTGGCGTAGACGAGATGTTCGACTATCGACCAAAGGGCGGGTGTACTGCTCATCAGTTCGCTCCGTCCTCCTTTATGCCTGGTTGTGAGACCTGGCCGCTGAGAGTGGAAGACATGAAAAGACTGGCTGTCTTTTATCATAGGTGCCTGCTCTCTATTTCCCGTGTGAAGTGGCATAATAAGGTGAGCAACATGGAGGTTAGGCGTCGAGTTCTAGGTAAACAGGGCAAATCAATCGACGAAGTCGTGAAGTTATAAAGACTGAGATGGTTAGGACATGTGCTACGTATGCCAAGCCAGCGCCTCCCTCGACGAGCAATGTTAGCGGATATAGGGTCAGGCTGGAAAAAAGCTAGCGGTGGTCAAAGAAAGACTTGGCACCAGTCAATGAAATCCACAACAGTTGGTCTAAGCCACGTAGGAAGGTGTAGACTTCCAGGCTGGGGTCCTCGGGACGGTAAAACTCTATGATTGGAAACAATTGGTGACATGGCTCAAAATCGTTCTCAGTGGCGCAGATGCATCCACTCCTTGTGACTTATGATCTCCAATGAAACTGTTTTGTTTTTCTTTATTACTCCTTTGTCTCACCCCTCTGCTCACTGTTTCTATTATGCCTTTCTTGCACTTTCTTCTCTTGCTTCGCGTGCTACACGGAGTGTGGCGACTTGAACTTCCGCACATTTGCGCAAAGTTCTATGTCGAGAACAGACAGAACAAACAGAAAACGCAAAGATTGAACGATCAATTCATGGTTGTTTGCTCAAAACCAACTTCCCCAATTTTCGCGGAGGCATCAATAAGACAGTCGTCTCATCGGTCGCTGTTCAGAAAGAAGTCAGTAGCAAACCATCAGAAGTAATCTCGTGATTTATTATTGTAATATTTGTCCACAGACCTTGATGATAACATTTTTTATATCTTGGTGTTACAATAAAGAATTCCCAAGCGGCCAATCGGTGTTTTGGTTTTTCGTCCGTTATTACTAAGCGTTTCTGAGAAACTTCAAGGAACAGCGTGAGTCCCAGCGTAGCAAGAGCTGGGCATTGACTGTTTACGAGACGCGATTGACAACATACGTTCAAGACGGCGTAAACTGGCATATGCGAAACTAGCCTACTGTATTCGTGCCGAGATTAACCCGCTGCTGTTGGCTTATGCAATTACTCAGATAAGTGAAGTGGTGAACATACTTCACTAACTACTTCACTCCCTGTTTCTAAGCTAGGAGTCAGTGTGGTCCAGTCCCGTAACATTATCTTACATTTCACAGAAGGAGCGAATCGTGTGCCAAACATTTGCATCTATGGTCAAAGACAGCTAGCCAGTGTTTTCATGTCTTCCACTCTCAATGGCCATCTCTCGCTCACAGCCATAATGTAGGACGGAGCGGAGTGATGAGCAGTACGCCCACCCTTTGGTCGATAACCAGCCGGATATCACATCTACGCCAGAGACAACGTAAACTGGCATATGCGAAACTAACTCTCTATTTCTAAACTAGGAGTTAGTGTAGTCCAGTTCTGTAACATCATCTTACATTTCACAGAGAGGAGCGAATCGCATTTGTAGATGACAGCTCAAGGTGTTCAGAAGACTCTGCACTTTGTCAGCGTCCTCGCCTAGAAGGACTATATCGTCCGCATATTCTAAGTCAACGAGATGATTTTCTGTCGGTAGCAAGTCAATCCCTGAGTCTCTGAAGTGAGTTAGGGTTAAATCCATCGGTACATCTATGATGAAATTGAATAGAAACGGGGATAATGGGCATCCTTGACGGACACCATTAGTCGTCACCACTTCAGATGACAACTCGCCGTAAGCCCTCAGCTGGCTGGCTGCATGAGTTCGAGTAGAGTGCCTTGATCAGTGCAATGTATTTTCTCGGAATTCCCTTTACAGCCAAGCATCGGCAGAGTACCTCTCGATCGACAGAATCGAATGCCACCTTTAGGTCAAGAAATATAACGATTGTTGGACGCCCGTAAGAATGGCTTTGTTCTGGAATATGTCGAAGGGTGGTTGGGGCTACTAGCCACACGCCCAACCTTCCCTCTACGCCAGGCTTACTACCGACTAAGTGAGGGGTTTAGGAGGATGGTATCTGCCGTGAATTGAACCCATGATCACATGTGAGTGGTTGACGTGCATTCTACCCCTGAACCACTAACGAAAAACAATAGGGCTTTATGAGCACATTGCTCAATTAGTGCTCACATAAAAGTATTTCTTTGAACCATCGTTTATATTTACAAATGTCTGTATCTTTTAAACTTTATTTAGAGTGGTATGAATTCAGCCATCAGTGCAACTATAAAAGATGAAGAGTATAAAACTGAACAGCAACTACGACAACAACAACAATCACATCACCAACAACAGCAAGCTCATCAGCAGCAACAACAACAACATCAATTGTTCAGACCAAATCCAGCATATAATTTTGGACCATGGAATTGGAATGCCGCTATGCATAATACTAATAACAACAATAGCAATAATAATAATACTAATAACAATAATAGTACCATGAATAGTATTATTACTAATGGAAGTCAACAACAATTATCTAGACCAATTTTTTCTGATAATGATGTTATGAAAATGATTAATTTTATAAAACGTAAGTTGAATTTAAGCGTTATCAGCGGTTTATTTATTGTATTATACATCTTGAAATGTGCTTTGGACTGTTGTATGTACTAAGCTTGTTAGTTGCGTGTCGTTGTCACTTGCTACTGATGGAATGTTTGTAGTAAGTACCCCTTGTAGATATATGCTTCGTCCTCGTATGCAAGTACAGTATATGCAGTGGTACAGCAGTAGAGTGCTCGCCAACCACACCCTGTTTCCCGAACGAAAGCTGCTACCTTGATGTGGTGGTCGGGCTTGAACACCGCAATGATCCATTCAAGCTATACTGGCTGATACTTATGTCCCCTGAGGTCCTACCATGCCAGGCAGGTTGTTTGGATAGCGGTTAAACAAAAAGCAGCTACCCAATCCAACATCATGACTAATACAAAATAACAAAATTTCATGCCGGATCGGCCGTGGCTCGGATTAACAACGACCGCGCTTCCTGCTGCCGTGTCACAGGGCAGGAGTGATAAGTATGCTACTGAGGCACACAAAACAACAAAGAACAAACAAAAACAGGCCGCGTGTGACCGGCCTCAAGCACTTGTCCCCTGGGCTCTGCGGTCACGCAACGAACTTCCACGGTATGGGCAGTCGGGAAGTAACAATCGCCCTCACAATCCGAAATGCACACCCCATGCGGAATTCGATCCCCAGCCACTGACGCACTCCTTAACCTATCTAAGCCAGTAGTAAGATTGGTGAAAGGGGAAGGTTGGGCTTGGCATGGGGCTGGCAGAAACCCCATCCTGTAAAATTAAACACCATTGCTACAGAAACTTCAAGCCTCTAGCTTGAAACCCTATGTTCAACTGGGAACGTAAAGCGATGGAGATAGTTGGTGGGGGAGAAAGTACAAATTTCATACAAGCAGTTCCCTTGATTAATTTGAACAAAGAAAGAACGAGCTTGTTTTATTTCGTGGGTTCTTTTCAGATGTATACAAACTAAAAAGTATCAAAATATAAGTTAGGAAATGTTTAATTGAAAATATTTTTTACAGTGACTTCGAATTATAGATAGAAATTATAAGCAACATGATTCCAAAAATGATGTAAGTGGAAGAATTATTCAGTGTTACAAAAGTAGCTTCATATTATTTTTGTTTATTAGATGTATCACACAGTGAGTGAGTGGAACAGTATTATTTACAAGATGACACAGTTTTGAACAAAATTTATTGTGGCTCATAATCACATCATCAATTATAATCACATAACTTCGAAACTTGAGTTTTATGGTTTTCTTTATCTTCTCCTATTTGTCGTCGTAGGGGTAGTAGAATTTTCTAGATATCTGGGACAGGTGATGAATCATCCCTATTAAACGTGTTTGCAGTTGATTCGATAAGCAAAGCTTCTGTTTACAATTTCCCCGTTTACCATGCTGTTACATTAGATTTTAAAACTATCATGTTATCCCATCCCATCGTATTGTATGATCGTGTGTAACTGCATGCAGTCAGTGCTATAGCTGAACTATTCTCCAGATTTCTTATTTTATTCGGGTTAACTAACCTAGATTTTGCTGCGAGGTTTTAATGCTCGGCTATTCTGACTGACTTTCTCTGTTCTGCTTATTTGACCTGTGTATTTGACCTGACAATCATTCCAGCAGTGTAATAGATAAACTAAAATGTTTTGTTTAATTGGCTCCAAAGGCAGGATCCTTTAACCGACAAAGCTTGTTTCTAATCGAGTTTGTGGTTGGTTTGAATGCCAGCCACTTTTATTCCTGCCTGTATTGTTAAGAATTCTGCGTAAGGTGTTTTCCGTGGTTCCTTCCTTGTATGGAATTACTACCGATGATTTAGATTCTTTCTTGTTGGTGTTGTCTTGCGCATGGTTGACATGCATGTCGTCATTAATATTACTGTTATTATTATCACTATCACCACTATCATTACTTATTTTATTTTTACTTTACATTTCCCTACATACTTTCTGGCTGCCCTGTTAGCCATCATTAGCCAGTTGATCATAAGATTAGGGAAAAAAAGTAAATCAATTAAATACTAAACCCGGAGCAAGAAAGCCCTTTGATAAGAAAGAGACGAAAGCATCTCTAGGCCTTCTTTGTAAGAGAAAGTCAAATATGGTAGACGAAGCTCCTAGGGGTAGGCCTAATTGGTGCCAAGTGGAAAGCCAATTTTATCGAATCCCTAATTCTAGACAAACAGCACAGCAAAGTAGTAGGTATTGTTCTGCACATCCACTACGTAAACCCCTTGTCAACCAGCCCACTTCTAATATTCTGTCTACTGAAAGTTATAGAAAATACCCCAAACATCGGCCACAGACCACATTTAGCAAGCCAACAGAACCCATTCATATATCTTATGTGTCTAGTGGGGAGCATGTGCCGATTTCTGCACAAAACTTGCCATGGTCTGATGAATACCAGAAACAGATACCAACACTTCATTCTTATACTGGCAACAAATTACCGAATACACATATCGGTTATACCTTAGGGCAGGATTTTCACCAGCGTCAGTTAACAGAAACACCTGGAATCATGCATATAGCACGCATGATATCGGATCAATTCCTTGCTGGCATAGCGAACAGTCTACAGCTAGGGCAAGGCATATTTCCCGGGAGATAGCTGACACAGTGTCGACACCAAACGCGGATACTAATATCTCTAAAATATTAATATCTGATTATCACACAGGTGTCTCTCACTGCATACCATATCCAAACGTAAGCCCATCCCTGACTACCACCTCAAAAATCTACCTGAAGTCTTCCTACGATCCAAAGATATTGGTAAATGAGTCTGATAACATGTATATAGAGGATACTCACGGATTATTTTACCAAGATGTTGTCCGCTCACTGAAACCACATAGCCAGTGTTTATCTATTATCCTAGTAAATACGAGATCAGTTCTAAGCAAACATTTAGCACTAAGTACAATAGCTTCTATATGCAGACCGTCATTGATTATGATCAAGTGAAATCTCCAATGACAGCCTAAGGATTGATAAATACAACCTTTTTCGCGGGGACAGACGGACAGGTCGTGGGGGTGGAACACTAATTTACTGTGAACAATCCATGTGTGCAACCCAGTTTAGTAACCCAATTCTGTCACAACTCAATGACTCGATCTGGGTCGAAATAAAAGTTGTCAGAAGTAAACCTATACTTGTGGGTTGTGTGTACCGGCCCCCTTCATCCAGCAGGGAATATGATAATATGCTTAGCAATATCTTTAATGTTACAGCCAATCTTCCTTTCAGTTATAAAATTATCGGAGGCGATTTCAACTTGCCAGAAGTATCATGGTCTTCACTCCGAGGACCCCAAAGGTACGATAATCTCATAAATTCCATCGTCACAGGAGGGTGGACACAACACATAAATTCACCCACTAGATCCGCAAATATCCTAGACCTTATTTTCACGAACAACATAACGCCATCTACCGTACATGTTGGACATGAATTTCCAGGTAGTGACCATAGAATAGTAGTTTGTTCTTTTGACATCTTTCCTGAAACAAAACGCAGAGATGAAGCTGGCCAGATACCTATGAGATTGTACACACATGCTGACTGGGACTTGTATCAGCACCTAATTAGATGTTCTAATTGGGACTCGTACTTTTCGAACCAGTCCTTAGATGCAATTCTTAACAACTTCTATCAGAATATTAACTCAATTCACGACGTCATTGCACCCGAGAAGATTCTTAACTTCAGATTCCCCCAAAGTGATTATATTCCGACATCGTTTAGAAGAAGTCTACGTAAGCACTCAATAAAATACTACAGATATCATGACTTATCGTCATTAATTGCCATAACGTCCCTTCTCAGTAGAATTGAAGAGTTGAGAAATATAGGCCTCAGAAACAAAGAAATGCAGGCCATTCATGCACCGCATAACTCAGGAGAAATAGCCAAACTTTTTAAAAGTAGGTTGATGAACTCCAAAACACCCTATCCGAAAATAATATACTTAGACGGCATTGCTTACGAAAATAATGAGGCGATATGTGAACTGTTTAGCAAGCACTTCGCCAGATTATACACCTTAGAGAACGATGAAGTCGTGGATTTCCCACGTAAAACAGACGAATGTTTAAGTGACATAATTTTCACCACACATGAGATCGATAAAGCTGTCGCAAATCTTAAGCTTAGTAACACTACTGGCCCAGACGGTATATCTTCCGTTCTGCTGAAAAAAGGTGGTAATGACATGAGTTTACTCTTACTCAAGTTATACTCAATTTCATTAAGCGATGGGACATACCCTAACTGCTGGAAGAAGTCTTATATTGTACCTATCCATAAATACGGGCCTATAGCTGATATCAACAACTACCGCCCCATCAACATCACGTCTGTAGTTTCACGTGTAATGGAAAAGATAGTTAAGACTCAAATCATTCAGTACTTGCTGTCAAATGACCTACTATCCCCATCCCAATACGGTTTCTTAAGTAGAAGGTCGTGCATTACTTGCCACTTAGATTATTTTGACTACATCACACAAAGCATTGATAATGGGCGTTCGGTAACAACATTGTTTCTTGACGTTAGCAAGGCCTTCGATAAAGTCCCACATATCAGACTCCTAACAAAACTCCAATCCTACGGAATAACCGGAAATCTTCACAAATGGATAAGTTCTTTTCTCACAGAAAGAGAGCAATTAGTCAAAATCAACCACCAGTTGTCTTCCTCAAAGCCGATAACCAGTGGTGTAATACAAGGTAGTGTTCTTGGCCCTATTCTATTCCTCTTATTTATAAATGACATAGTCTCTGTAATCAAGTATGGCAAGCCATACCTTTTTGCAGATGATCTCAAGATAGTATATGATTATGGGTACGGTGATATGAGCGTCGAAAGCAAGATCCAACAAGACTTAAATGATCTAGGCGATTGGAGCGAAAAGTGGCAACTGACTTTCAACCCAGACAAGTGCGGTATAACCCACCTTGGACGCTGGAAACCGATAATGTGCCTATATATGTACGGTAAGCTCCTCAAAACTGAACACAGTCACAGACCTCGGGATAACATACTCAGATTTATCCTTTTCCGATC